TTTTTTAGCATTTGTAATACATATTTGAGCTATAGACAAGACTCAGTCATTGAAAATTAGTAATTTAAAATATTACTCAACAACACTAAAAACTCAAAAAATAATAACTACTACAGGCATTAAAATATTTTTGAACAGTGTTAAGGTTGCAGCTGAAAAAAATAAGACATGAACTATCGTTAATTTTAAAATTTTCAAATTAAAAGACAAATAGTTATACTGAAAACATTCCACAAACTAAAATAGACACAAGCATAAAGCAAGCACTACTAGCAGTGTTTATGCTCATCTTTAGTTTCACAATTCATTCGTATAGAATCAGAGCCGTTTTCATGTTTTTAAGAGCCCCAGGCCTGTCTTTATTTTGGGGCTTTTTATGAGTAATTTCAGAGGGGAAAATGTTTTAATTTGAATAATTTTTGAAAATTATCAGCCTCGGTAAGTTTTGGCCTTGGGCATCGTTTTTATTCCTGCTTCAACTCTAACTTTGGGGACTGTGTCAATCAGTTTGGATCCTCTTCATTTGTGATATTCACCTGAATAAGTATTGATTATTGTTGTTGTTGTTGTAGTTCATTTACTAACTCGGTATTGCCGAAGAATATACTTCCAAATATCATTACCGCGGTATCAAAGAAATACCGGTAAATGACGGTATTACGGTATATTGCCCAGGCCTACTGTTAACATGATGCCTGAATTGAATTTTAATTCTTCTGATTTTCCTAACACGTGGAAAGATGACATTCGTATGAATCTTTTGTTTGCTCCTTTTCGTGAAAGATTTATAAATCCAGAAGGTTGGGATGGGAAAATGAATTTTTGGACGACTACCATACAAGAACTTTGCATTAAAAGTCAATCACCTTTAATATCTCAAGTTTTCTTATGTGCTGCATTACACAGAAAAGGGAAACAACCGCAATGTCTCGATGTTGTTCTGGATAATATGTTCAGGTACTATTTTTTCTTCATTTGTCAATTTAGGTGTATTACGGCGGATTTGTTGGCCACTCTTGCTGTATAAGGTGGGCCCACTTTGCTACCACAATAAGGACTGATAGTACAGAGAAATGAAAGGGACAGTTTTCCTTATTGTGATTTACAGCGGAATAATCGCCAAGTCTTGCTATCTTGCTGGCAGCGTTCCGCGTTAAACTGAAAAAAAATTTTGACAGAAAGGGACCAACTCGAAAGGTTTAACTCATATTCACCCTGGGCAAACATCTGCATGTTTTTTTTTTTTTTTTTAAATTACAAGTTTAAAGTATATTTGGCACTCTGGTGGTTGTAGTTGGGGTAAAGATCACAATACAGAAATATCCTTGAAATGAAAGAACATACATGCCTTGTCTCGGGTTCAAACCCAGACAAGGCAAGGTATGTACACAAACCTAGATTTAAAAAAAATTATGCTATCCAGCATATACAGTGACCTCTCATTTATGTGAGGGGGGGGGCATAAGCCTGTAAAAGTCAGGGATGAGATTTTTCCCCTTTTTAGCTCGCTTTTGTCTCTCGAATTTCAGCCTTTTTATCAAAAACTCCAATTCTCTAAACGTTTCTGGGTTTTTTTTATATAAATAATAATCTTTTTCTAAAAATGCATTAAAATTGAGTCCTAGAATGTGAAGATTGGATCATTGGACCAAAAGTTAGTCCGTTTTATTTTTTCGCTCACTATTCATACATGATCCATGAAAATGGTCAATGGTTTGTGTTCCGGAAAAAATCTGGATTTTTCGCTAACAGTGATCCGGAAATCAAAGGTCCAGGCTTTTCAAAAATTCATTGATTACGGAAGTTTCCGGAAATCAAATTTTCAAAGGTGGAACTTAAAAACACAATTTATTTTATTTGTTTGTAAGTGAGAGCCAGATACTTTATAAACTTATATTCATTTTTATCAGTGAATAGTTATTATAATCGTGAACTCAAAAAAGAAAGGCATATTTGTAAATTTTAATTACTTCTCCAGGTCATCATAGGTGAAATATTGAGAAAAAGGAAAGAAACCTTGTTTAAATTTTTTTCTAATTTTTCAATTTAACTGTTTGTTTTTTTTAACTCAAGAAATTTTCCGGAATTTTAACATGGGCTCACAATCTGTTTAAAGAACTTTGGGATTATCAGGGTTCTGTTATACTTAATAAGATATTTAAATCTTTGAGTTCAGCATAAAAGGTAATGCCATAATGTTGAATTTTATTATATTTTTATAGGCAAGGACTCATTTTTAGTGTTGATGAATTTAACAAAGCAGCGAATCTGAACCAAGGATGGCTTCGTTGGGGCTTGAACGTTCTTGTTCAAAAACCTGTTGTCTGGGGTTTTTTTTCTGTTCAAAGCTTACTGAGTTGGTCTTAATTTCTAGTATTTCATCATAGCTACCAATTCTAGAGGATTTTCCAATAGACTACTAGATCTTGCCAGTTTCTCCTGATCTACTGGTTTAATTAAAATTCTCCTGGTTTTTNCTGAAATTGAGTAAGTTTGATTAAACAAAAAAAAAAAAAAATCCTTATTGAAATATAATTTGTGTACAGATTATTTCTTGAATATTTAAATAAGTATTACTAATACATAATAAAGTGAACCTCATTTATTAGATATCAGTTCAAAACTTTTTTTATTCTAAATTGTTCAGAACTTTGTTTTTAAATTAATTTAAAAAAATCNTAAAAAAAATCCTTATTGAAATAGAATTTGTGTGCAGATTATTGCTTGAATATTTAAATAAGTATTACTAATGCATAATGAAATTGAACCTCTACTATAGAAATCAGTTCAAAACTTTTTTTTCTTGTTCTAAAATATTCAGTTTATTTTTATTCTGAACTCTCTTTATAAATTTAAAAAAATCTTTGAATTAAATGTGTTTTAATATTTGAAATTATAAGTAAGCATAATACATAACATTTTAAGTATGTTTAATATTTATCATAACTGTAAAATATTTCAGTTTCTCTATTGTGATGACTATAAAAGTCCCTAAAATTTCCTATGTGTAAAATATTTAGAACATCATGCAAAAATTATCACGAAATTCATGTTATTTCGTAAAATCTACTGGATCTTTTTTCCTATCCTTGCTGGCAGCAATGATTTCATTTATTTCCATGTAAACATTATTTTAGATAATAACAGCAAAGAAGCAATTATTAAAAATAAAAATTCTAGGTATTTAGAATAACAGAAACAAAAAATATAACAATTCTAACCAGGGTTGCAAAAAAAACCCTGGTTTTATTGGGCTTTCCTGGTTTTTCTTCATGTTTCATTGGGATTTTTTCAAAAGAGAGGGCAGGGATAAGTACTTTATTTTAAAAAAGCTTATTTTAATATTAATAATAAGTTTAATTTTATGAATTGACTTAGCATATAGGTAGTTAAAGTGTAATTAATACAAATAAATTAGTGCAAAAGTCTGAAAAGTTTCTTCTTACATCTCGATACAAAATATTATATCTACTCACATATCACACATTTGAAACTTATTTTAACACAAGATTACTTTTTACTTATATTTTAATCTTGGAAAATATTTAAGGGGGGAAAAAATTTTGCATTGAAAGCGAATCAAAGGCACTGACTAATCAATGGCCTTACGGTCAAATCTAGCCAGCCAGGCGACTCTCCAGTCTCCAAACACAGTTTGTTTTTTCACCATAGGTTAATTTTTTTAGGTTAGACTACAAATATGTTTCAATAGAAAAGCTCTTTAATATAAAAGAGGATAAAAAATAAATCAATTTTAGAAAAACCCACTTTAGGGTGGATTTGACTGGGTAGGTGGATTTTTTTGCAACCCTGGTTCTAAATTAATGAAATTATTCAAAATTTTTCAAACAAGTATAAATTTTTTTACACACTGTATGAGGGATGTACAAATTAAATGCGACCATTCACGAATCCACCAGAAATTCAGTAGTGATATCAGCATCATCATATGTAAATTTAAAAGAAGCCTGCTCATAGCTTGTTAAACAATTTATACAAGAGCATTTAAAGTGTGTGTGTAAAGTGATGTTGGTGATTTGTTCTTACCGGTGCATGCTTGTAACAGTCCCATCTCATCAGTCTAGGGTAAATTTACTACCGTTTAGCGGTACCTTCACAAATTCAACTTTAAGAAAAATGGTTATTTCACAAAATACTTTTTTTTTTTTAAAAAAAAAAGCACATTTTAAGATTTTCCTTCATGCCTTTTAAAACTTTAGAGTAAAATTGTCTTTTTTTATGAGTAAAGCAGTCGTAGTAGTAAATGATTGCATGCTATAAATTTATGTTTGAATATGTTTTTCTTGTTTTCAAAAAATCACTAAAAATCTTCATCCTTATTTATACTTATAAATATTTAATTTTTGCAACTACTCAGTATTAACCGAGTACAACGTCAAGACTTGTATGAGCATGTTAATATTAAAAATCTGTTCTTTTATCTCAATATGCTAAATGTGTGCTGAGTACTTGGTAAAATACTAATTAAAATGATATTGTGTTGATTTTTTAATTTTCATAAATTATTTCTTAATTTTCACCAAATAGACACCTTAAAAAAAAGGAAAGAAATCTAGACAGACCCCTGCCCATATTGCTATTAGCTAATGTGAAAATCTAGTTATTATTTTACTAATACATGGTTTTATTGTATTTTTAGTAAGTTTGTACTTTCTAAAAGATACTTTTTGACATTCGATTTTTCTCTATCATGTCAAATTGTAGGAGAAGACATTTCAACAAATTTTAAGAGGTAGACTCTTTACTTCCTAGGTTTATAAAAAACATTTCTATTCAGAATCTTGATAAAAAAGTATTTTTTGAAAAATATCTCTATATATATGTAACATAAAAAGCTTCAATTAATCTTTTTATGTTAGTTCTTTTCTGTAAATCCTTTTATTTTACTTTATTAATCTAATTGAAATGCTTTCTCACACTTTTAAATTCACATCCTGTCCTTAAATCTATTTTTGGCTCAAGCATGCATTTAATTAAAAGCAAGATATTTCCCCCTTTGCTCTCTGTTGGAATTGCTCGACCTATTTGATAAGCCAATTACGAGTACTAAGATTTCCCTAAAACGAAGCATATTACGGATTTACTTTGCAAGATTTTACCTAGCATATAATCTAGGAGCACAAATTTTCGTGACCCCTTTTATGACTGCTCTCTGTCTAATAATTAATAAATAAGTTTTGTACCCTCCTTACCTGCCTAAGACCTGTTTTAATTCTTCCACTTGGCAACAACGTTATATAATATATTTATTTTTTCAGGGTGGCCACCCACCTGGGATTATCAGGGAATTTTTTTTTATACTGGAAAAAATCTGGGAAATTTGGATAAAAACATGGAAAAATCAGGGAATTTTAAAGAAAAGCTGGAAATTTTTTCTTTGATAATTTTTTTAATTTCACTAATTTAAATTATTTACTAATTTTCTTTATTTAAATTATTTCATCTATTATACCCACTTTTTTTAGACGGAAATGTATCTCCAAACAGTTGAACTATCATCAACTGAGCGATACTTTGTTTGCATCAAAATTTGCTCCATTACAGCTCTCTTAAACTAAAATGCCACAAAAAATTCTTCCACGGTTGCTGAAAACGAATGTAGAAATCTTTGACCACTATGGGACTGTGCAATTTAGGAAAGATTGTGGTGGAGGTGGAAGAAGGGATTAGGATATTAGCTTCTGTTTTTAAATTCTGTCTTTAAGCTGAATCCATTCATGGCTCAAGTTTCTTGAATGCTTTTGTGGTAATTTTTTCTCCATGTTGACAAAATGTTTTTGTATTTTTAACTTAATAAAATTCTCTAAAAATTAGTTAATTATAATTTAATAATAATGCTTTTGTATTTCCATTCAAAGAAATCAGTGAATTATTTTTTCTCAGCAAACCAACCGATCACACATTTTTTTACAATCACACATTTTCAGCAATGTTTGTCGACAAATTGTTACAACTGTTGCATTAATGCTAATTTTTTCTATTTCATTTTAACCTTTTATAACATATTTTAATTTTAAATAAAAGAGTTTTTTTTAAAAACTAACTATACATTATTTAATTTTGCTTTTTTGTTGATCAATATATGATTTTTGATTCAAAATTTCGTACCAAAACATAAAAATAAAAAAATCTTGCCAAATTGTCAAAATAAATTTTTTTTTTTCAAGATGATATGTTAAAAGAAACATTTTGAATAAAATATTTTATAATATAGACACTTTTCTTGTACACATCCTACACTTTATAAGAAAAAGGAAACAAAAATCTGGAAATTTTAAGATTTTTTTTTGAAAATCAGGGAAATTTGAGTGACCACCCTGTGATTTTTTTTTTTAAGTCATGATTGACTTCTCACTTATGCATCACCCCTTTTATGTACCTTTTTCATTTATATGACAGTTTTCAATGTTCCATGCTCCTCATATGGGAAAATAATGATAATTATCATCCGTTTATGCGTTGCTCTAAAAATGTTACATTTTGTGACGAAATTTTCCTTAGAATTGCCAGGAATTTTTTTTTTTTTTTTTTTTAAATAGAAGAAAAATATAGTCCATTTTTTCCCTTGGACTTTTTCATCCTTGTTTATCGGAAGACAGTTTTCCTACACTTTTGAATAGGTTGTCTTATTTCTTACACCACTCACCTTGAAAACCCATCCATCTTTAAGGAAAGAACCAAATGCTATTTATTTACTTCTATTTTATGTAGCTGAAAAAAATTTTTATTTTGTTTTAGGACCTTGCTGCTAAGCTTTTAAAACGATATAGAGATTTAGTTGATACAAAATGGACTGATACTGCTGTTTTCCTTGATACTTTTCGGGAGGAATGTGAGGATATCTGTCCAATGCAAAGCTTCAATTTAGCCTTAATTCAGTCACAAAATGATAGAAATGCTGTAGTCTTTGAACAAGATGGAAAAAAGGTGTGATTTTATTCATTCTATATGTAATTTAAATTGCTGCTGTATTATTTTTACAAATATCTGAATTACATACCTGCCAAGTCTCCTGTTTTTTAACGGAAACTCTTGTATTTTACCACTATCTCCTGTTTACGTGTATATTCTCAAATTTCTCAGTATTTTTTAAGAAATTTAAAAAGAAAATTTTGGGGATAAAATATCAACTGATGGCTACTGCCAGTACTGCAGCATGTTGAGTGTTAATAGTTTAAGTCAAGCCCTGATAGCTCAAGGGATAGAGCGTTCACTTTCCAATGAGGTGAACCAGGTTTGAATTCCAGCGATGACTGGTCAATATAAAATCCACATCCAGCCTGCACTGACCACAGTGCTGATGTAAAATATCCTCAGTGGTAGACAGATAACAGGTTAGAGTCCCCTTGCCGTCAGGCTGACTGTGAGAGGTTTTCGTGGTTTTTATCTCCATGTAACTCAAATGGGGATTAGTTCCATAGAGTTATAAATAAGAAAGAGTGGGCATTCATCCCCTTCCCTATTAGCGCGGGTGAAGTAACTGTCAAGGAGCGGCGGCCATGTTGGTATAACCAGAAACTTCGCGGAGCCGCTCAGGTTTCAAGAAGAGTTAGGTTGTTCTTGACATTTTCTCTTATGATTGGAAAATTTCGAAAACGAGATTGAAATAGTTTTGTTTTTAACACACAACACCTTTTTTCATTCAATTTTTCAACATTACTTTATTTTCTTCCCAAAAAATAATGTAATAGCTCTATTTTACTACTGAATTAAAAAAAAGAACTTTACAGCAGTTTTCGGGAACTTAGGTTCCTTTATATTTTATCTAGGCATTAAAAATAATATATTACTGTTATTTAAGGGGGCAGCTATCCAATTAAAAATTTATTCAAAGAATATCACTTTAAAACCACACTATTTTGAATACAAACAAAATAATATGAAAAGCACTTTTCTTTAAAGTTAGAATATTTAAAGGGAAAAATATTGGTTTGTGCTAAAAGAATAGCAATAATCAACATTAAGCCATTTGAGTAAACACTTGGGTAATAAAACTAGTCCATAACATACTTTTTATTACTAAGCAGAGAAGTCTAATTNCGAAAAAGTATTTAACAAAAGAAAATATTATTTGAAAAATAATTTTTGAACAGTTATTTTTTTCAATCACAATTTTCCTTTTTTATTTAGTGAGAAGAAATGCATATACATATACTTCCAGTGTGATATTATCTTAAATAACTTATATATACTCATGTTTTGAAAACAGTTTATTAATATTTGTAAAATATTATGTTGAAAGCATTTTCTTAATATGAAATTTTGAATGTTGTTAACAATTTAAATTGCTCTATGCACATCATTTTCTCCGATACAAATCTGAAAACCTTTTTGAATGCTAGATAGAGTATATATTAATAGAATTTTGCATGAAAAAATTCAAAAGCAAGTATTAATTTTGCAATTTTTTTTCTTTTTTTTGGCAATATAAGAATGATATTACAGCATTTCTATTACAGTTTCAGAGCAACAGGTTAAGGATTGAGAATTTTCGTCTTTTGTCGAAAAAAAAGTACTGAAACTTTCATGTTATACAGTATTTATTCAAGAAAAAACAAAAACACTTGTCATTAAAAGTTAATTTAGTGAGCAACGAAAATTAAGGATAAATGAACCCTTAATGTTGTTAAATATACACGATTTTGCAAAGTCTCAAATTGAACAAACAAGATCGTAGTTTACAAAACAAAATTTTACCTGTGAAAAGTGATGCTGGGAATTTTCTTAGATGTCCTATTTGTGCAGTTAACCGCAACACAGGAACCCATTACGTACTGATTTTTTTTTTCAACAATAGACTAATTGCTAAAATAAAATCTATTAGTCAGTTTAACGAATCTTAAAACACATACAGCTCTAGTTCAATGAAGTTCGATTTGTTTTGGTTGTACCAATATAGCGCCGCGGTTGCAGTTAAGGCTTCGCGAGTTTACGGGCATGCCGTCTCCTCCTATTTATTACTCTATGGTTAGTTCCATCAAAAATTCCAACACGAAGGCAAATATCTTCCAATACTTGATCCAGGAATTCCCTTGTCTTCTGGATTGGGTTCAAAATTACAAGACTACAGTTGAACATTATTAGCCGTAAACCCAAAATTGGGTCTCCTGTTCCATGACAGTTATAAAATAAAACAGTTTAAGTAATTATAAATAATGGTTTAAAAAAATCTTCTTTAGATTAAGTTTTATATACATATTTTTACTTTGCTAAATGTAAGTGCTTATATTATTTCCAATTCTTAGTTTCTCTTTTTGACTTACATTAGTATACATAATGTATCAAAACTTTACTTGTAGCCTAAAAAATGTCGCTAGTTAATTCTCCATTATTTTATTTCTCCAAGATATGAAATTACTTCCTCCTAATGAAAATTTTTTTCCCTTATAGGCTCTAATATCATTTATGATTCTAGATCCTGCAATATTTTACTATATTTGTTTTTATATTGTTTCATTACTTTATTAAAAATCTGGGTTGGAAAGTTTTGACTTGTGAAAAGTTTTATCTTATTGATAACAAAGAATTTTAATGGCATGGTATTTTCATTTTATTTCTGCTAATTAAAATTTAAATTAAAAATTTTTGTCTTAAAGCATTACATTTTAAAAAAAAAAGAGTTATAGAAGATATTTGACTATTGATCTAAGATAAAGGATAAAAGTATGCAACGAAGACAGCAAGTGCACTTTGCTTCCTCTGGAAGCCGTCCTTAATATGCTGTAAAAGTCAGACAAGTTGTTCGGTTGTGTTGTATCCTTGTCTGAAACCAGCCTGTCTCTCAGAGATATGGCCACCATAGTCCACACCTGATATAAAAACTATGCTATGCACCTTTACCTGATATTAAATCTATGCATTGTGATTCGTATTCACGCGATTAAAAAATCGAGCATCTCAATTTCTATTCAAGTGGTTTGAAAAATCCAATATCGCAATTTGTATTTACGCGTTTTTAATACCCAATATCGTGATTCATACTCATACTAGTAGTTTGAAATCCAAGGGCACTATTCATAATCACGTGTTTTTAAAATCCGATATCGTTTTTCATGCTCACACATTTGTAATATCAAGCATTGTGTTATTTTTAAACGTGATTTAAAAACTACATATTGCGATTCATATTCAAGCGATCTAAGGATTCGTATTTGAACAATTCAAGAATTCAATATCGCAAGTTGTATTTCGGCGTTTTTAAGATCCAATATCACTATTCATATTCACGCGATTTTAAAGTCTAACATCGCAATTCTTGTTACAGATAAGTTTCTTGAATTAGTTACTCTAAATGTGTGATATATTTCGCATTTGAAGGTAATTTAATTATAAATGTTTGTTCAAGAAATTTTATTACATATGAAAGATGTATGGTTTATAAATTGTCAGTTTTTCACACATGAAATTTTCAGAATTTTTCACTTGGTGCCACAATCACCCCTGAAAATGGTATAACAGGGTTCCCGCGACCTTGAAAAGTACTTGAATTTCATTTTGATTTTCAAGAGCCCCTAGAAGTACTTCAAAATAATGTTAAATCCTTGAAAATTTCAACATGACCTTGAAAAATATCAGAAACTCTCGAAAACCCCTATTTTCCCCATTTCTGTGTTGAACTTCTCACATAAACCCCCCATTTTTATTAACTGAGCTTACTTTTTCCAAGTTTTGATGTGTTTTTCTTTATTAATTTATTCACTGATATGATCTGCTTTACTTTTTATTAATGATCTTGGATTTTCTTTCTTTATGATATGTGTTTTTAAAGTTGGTTATATCTGTATATTGATATCGTTACAATATTAACATTTTGTTTTAGTAAAATTTGATTTTCAGGGACTTAATTTGGTTCTTTCTTCAATCATATTTTACCACAGACATTCAAAAATTATTTAGCATACTTATTAATGCTAGCATTGTTCTTTACATGTCATATAAGACATAAAAGATTTTACAAGTAAAACTCTTTTAATAATTTTAATTGGTATGTTTTCTATTTTCTTTACTTTAGCTGTAGATTTGTTATAAATAAGTTTAAGTATACTTTGTTCTTATTTTAGTGTAGATTGTTTGAAATGTTCCTCTTTTCTTCATGACTTGTTCGAATCTTTGCTTATTCCAGGGCTGATTGTGCTCCGGGAAAAGTCTGGATTTCCGAATTTTTCACTAACAGTGATCCGGAGTTTGAAGGTCCAGACATTTATAAAAAATCATTGCTCTCAGAAGTTTCCGGAAATCAAATTTTTAAAGGTGGAACTTAGAAACACAGTTTATTTTATTTGTTTGTAAGGGAGAGACAGTGAGATACTTTATAAGCTTATATTCATGATTAATATTCATTTTTTATCATTAAGTAGTTCTTATAATCATAAACTCCGGAAAGAAAGACATATTTGTAAATTTTAATTACTTCTCCAGGTCGTCATAGGTATATGTAAAATTTTAAATATATTTTAAGTAAACTAAGAAATATTGAAAAAAAGGAAAAAAAATCTTGTTTAAATTTTTTTCAATTTAAACTTCTTTTTTTTTTAACTCAGGAAATTTTCCAGAATTTTGACTTGGACTCACAATCCCTGTTATTCAGAGGTTGTATACCTAACTCAAAATAGGCCTTATGTAAAATTCAAATCTGGCATTTTTATGCATCAAAAATTTTATTCTTGACTTGATGTCACTTTTTTTTATGCTTAGGTTACTTTTTGAAATAAAGAGAGAGCAATGGGAGTCTTATTTTTTAGCACTATTATCTTCAAAACATTTTAGTTTAGAATGTTAAATTTTAGTCGATCTTTTACTAGAATTTTATTCCTTGAAAATTTTATAATTAGTCTTAAAAAGTACTTGAATTTTATTTTTAAAGTAGAGCATGAACATTATAATATATTCATGTATGTATGAGGTGTGCCCAGAAAGAAAGTACTATTTTGTTCTTCTGCCACCACAGTTCAGTGAGCAGCAGTAGTTCCATAGATTTTAAGCGGGTTTTTCTAAATTGCTACTTACTTTCCGGGCAGACCACTTCTGTTGTTAGTTTTTTAAATTTAATGTTTTCATATTCACTGTCTTATATCTTTGCTCCTATAGGTAATAAAATTTAAAAAAGTAGATGAGAAGAAAGTGTTACCTCTCTCTCAAGTGGATAAAGGAATATTGAGGTAATATTATCTCGATTCTGAACAAATTTTTTAAGGTTTTCTTTATCAAAAATTGTTGTATTTAGGGTATCTGCGCACCTGAAAAGTCATGAAAAATCATGGGAAGTCATGAATTTCTGTATTGAACAAAATTTGTCATGAAATCTTGTGATTTTAATTTTTTTTTTTTTTTTTTTAAAAATCATGGAAAGTGATGGATTTAGGTTGCCGAAAAATCTAATTTTTTAAAATGGAAGTAACCCCCCCCCCCCAAATTTCATAATGTTCCAAATATCTGAATTGGTAACAAAATCCCCTCTCACAATCATATTTTATTGAAAAATGTTTTTATCATGTTCTATAAAAATTATGGTGTTTTTTTCAAAAAATGAAAGAAAAAACATCATTTCTAGAGCGAATTATCTTTTAATCTTTTGTGATTTCAGAATTTTTGTTATTATTTTTAATTAATTTTATCAATTTAAAATTATAGCTCAAGCAAGCCAGTCATTGGCAAGTATTTTTTTATTCCTAAATGATAATGGAAAAATCAGGAGTATTTCTTTCCTTTCCGATGAACAAGAAAAGTATCTTAAAAATATAATTCTGCAAAAAAAAATTTTTTTGCTTTTGTATTTTTTTAGCTATTTTTTTGATTCAACACTTTCTTTACTCTGTTTTTTAAATTAAAAATCTATAAATATGAAAATGCAGATTATAACAGTTTTGGTTATACCTATCATTTCAACTAATGTTATAATGATTTTTTAAATTGATTGTTGTGTTTTTGTCAAAGAAAATAATAACTTTGTTAAGTCATGAAAAATTTTTGGAATTAGTCATGAAAAGTCATGGTTTGAAAATCGAAAATATAGCACCCTGTATATTTAATAGAAATTTCATATTTTAACGTAAGTGCGATTATTAAATAATGATGAATGACTATTCGTTGGCTCTGCTGCGTCTCCCCGCCATTGTTTTTGTAAGTTTTGAATTGATCTTTCTTCGATTTTTAAAGACTCGAAGTTTTACNCCGTCACCTTACGCTTGGATAAAAAGAAATGCACATCATTGATTTAATGGTCTGTAGTAATATTTATCATTCTCATAGGTGCCAACTCTACTGGTTATTATCACACTATTATTAGTGGTTACAAGTAAAAGTCGTAATAATCTTTTAATAATAAGCTTTTTCCTAACTTTCAAAAATTATCAAATTTTGCTTTGATTCAAAATATTCAAAAAAAAATAATAAATATAATAAAAATAATAAAAAACAAAAAAAAAAGGATTAAGTATTACTTTTTTTATTTAATTGTAAATTCATGCATATTATTAATAATATGTATATACCTATACAGAATTTAGTAGTAAAACCTCATGAAATTGCGCCAGTTTTATTTTTGTTAATGTTATAGATATTGTATTTCTGATTCCGGTATTGGGTAGTTGACACTTCTGCAAAGTGTCAGTATGTGAGTTGATCCTTATGGAAGAAATTTTTTTGACATGTTTACAGCTCTTCATTAAAATCAAAAGTGATTGCTTTATAGTGTTTGTAAGGCCTTTTGTGTTTTGTTGAAAGTTGGTTGCAATATTTTACTTTGCTGCCAACTGTACTGGATTTTGCCAGTTTCTCCTGGTTTACTGGTTTAATTAAAATTCTCCTGGTTTTTGTACGTTTTAGAAAATTCTCTAACATTCTTGAGTAAGTTTTCTTTAAAAAAATCCCTATTGAAATAGAATTTTTGTACAGAAATACATAATGACGCGAACCTTATTTATAGAAATCAGTTCAAAACTTTTTTTGTTACAAAATGTTTAATTTATTTTTATTCAGAACTCTCTTTCTAAATTAATGAAAGAAATCTTTTAACTGTCTTTGATGAATTGAATGCCTATTAATGTTCCAAATTATGAGTATACGTAACATTTCAAGTATGTTAAATGTCAATCGTAACATTAAAATATTGCAGATTTTCTATTTTGATGACTATAAAATTCCCTATGTGTAAAACATTTACTGCATTATGCAACAATTATCATGAAATTTATATTATTTTGTAAAATCTACTGGATTTTTTCCTATCCATGTTGGCAGCTATGAATTTTCGTAAATAACAACTTTTAATATAACAATTTTACAATTTTGTGAGCAACACAAATATGGTACTCAAGATACCTGCTTTTACCTATGCTTTAAATTTTCTACAATCATAGTTACTGATGGCAAAAATAATTATTTTTATAATTATTGACGAACCAATATCATGGTTACTATCCCTGTGGCAGAATTTGATCGATCTATTTGCGACAAAACTCTTATTCACTAATATCTTTCTGCAAGATACTTTTAATGATAACAAGCATATATGTTACAAATTTCAAAAGCGCTGTGTTTACAAAAAACAACTATTTAATTTTTTTTTTATGAAACATGTAATAATTTTTTATTCTGATATTATGGGTGATATTTTCGCATTTTTTGGGGGGGGGCACTCAAATTATTTTGCCTTTTCTAAGTATCGCAATAAAAAATATAATAAAAAATCGTGAAATCCGTAGCAGTAATTACCGGGGGAAGATAGACGACGAAATAATGCGCATCGAATCAAATGCGAGTTTCGCTTTGAGGTTGACAGCCGAGATTCTCGCGGAATATCATATTTGTCATGTNCTTTTAATGATAACAAGCATATATGTTACAAATTTCAAAAGCGCTGTGTTTACAAAAAACAACTATTTAATTTTTTTTTTATAATACATGTAATAATTTTTTATTCTGATATTATGGGTGATATTTTCGCGTTTTTTTTTGGGGGGGGCACGCAAATAATTTTGCCTTTTCTAAGTATCACAATAAAAAGTATAATAAAAAATCGTGAAATTCGTAGCAGTAATTACCGGGGGGAGATAGACGACGAAATAATGCGAATCGAATCAAATGCGAGTTTCGCTTTGAGGTTACGTTGTTGTAATAATTAATATCGCATAAAAATTATCGGATTTAAAAACTGGAGAAATCAATAGCAATAACTGCCAACAATTCCATAGAATTATTGCCTTGAAAAGTAAATACTCAAATGCACAATTTGATTTTTCCATATTGTTCCAACTTTACCCCAATCATAGTAACCCAAATTTATTAATTCAGAACTTAAATTTTATATATTCTCAATCACATTTCATGTTGAAAAAGCATAACTATCAAATGTGATTCTAATACTTTATAATATACTAATTCTAAGATGCCGCTTTCTATTGTAGCAAAATTATCGATTTTAATTGTGTTCACCTAATATTAAAAATCTAAGCTAAATAATTAATTTAAACTTGATTTATTTTTAATTAAATAATTCTTTAATATTTTCTAATAATATTGTTTTTAAATAATTAAAAAATTTAGCAGGATAATTGCAACAGCAATCTCATTATGAATCTTTTTTATATAGTTTTCCAAAGTGTTTTATATCTTAAAAAAAATTTATTGCTAATTTGGTTTGTTATAGATAATTTTATTTTTTTTCTTTGTTAAAAACTATAAAAATATTTTTTTAAATTATTTATTAATTTTTATTTGATGAATAGTTAGTATAATATTGTCATTTTAATTATTTATTTGTACAAATAAAATGCTGATATGCATGTTAAGTAACGCATGGTTTCGTAATGTGAAAAACAAAATGTAAACTTTTTTATAATATAAATTGTTTAATTTGTTTTTTATTATTTTAGCCTTAAAAGTGCCAAAGACACTCTTATAAATGACGTTGATGAATTGGAAGAGAAAATTTTAAGGTAAGTTTCCTAAAATTAGTAAAAAATTGCAGAGAAAAATACAAGGTATCTGCGCGCCTGGAAAGTTATGGATTTCAGTATTGAACAAAGTTTTTCAAGAAATGTCATGATTTTAACTATTTTTTTAAAAAAAAAAATCAGAGTAAGTCATGAATTGCCAAAAAATCAAATTTTTAAAATTGAATTTACCCTCCACCCTCTCCCAATTTCATGTTGTTCCGAATATCTGAATTTGTAACAAAATCCCTACTCATAGTCATATTTTATTAAAAATGTAAAATGTTTTTATCCTGTTCTTTAAAAGTTATGGTGTTTATTCAAAAAATGAAAGATTGAACGTCTTTTCTAGAGCAAATTTTTTTTTAAAATTCCAGTCATTGGCGATTATTTTTTATTCCGAATTCAGAACAGACAAATCAAAAGTAATTCTTTCCTTTCCGATGAACAAGGAAAGTAACTTTAGAATATAATTCTGCAGAAAAAAGAAATTACTTGCTTTTGTATTTTTTCAGCCATTTTATTTCTTCAACTCCTTATTTACCCTGTTTTTTAAGTTAAAAATCAATAAATATGAAGATGCAGAGTATAACAGTTTTGGTTATACCTATCATTTCAATTAATGTTGTTATAATGCTTTTTTAAATTTACTGTTGTGTTTTCGTCGGAGAAAATGTTAACTTCGTTAAGTCATGAATTTGAAAATCTAAAATGTAGCAGATATACTTTTATCCAGATAAGAACACTTAATAGAATTTTTAATGCTAGTTGCAAAAATGTCAAGACTATTTTTATCAGGCTTGGCAAGTTTCTTACATAGTGAAGGAAGAAAAAAACTGCCCAGAAAAAAAAAGGGTTTCTTCTAACTCAAGTGAGAGAAAAAGAAAAATTATTTTAAGTGAAAAAATATCAATTATTGACTTAAAAATTTAAACAGTTTGCAATTGTTATCTAGTTGAAATAATAATACTTCCAAGTCATTTAAGAAATCATAAATTAAAAAGCTAGGAAAGAAAAATAAATTTAATGAATTTCTTTGGAAGTTGAAACTACTGTAGCCTTTTTTCATTGTTTTTACATAAGGAAGTATAGTAGAAATTCATTTTACAATTATGTAAAGAACTTTCAAAATATTATAATCAAATTATTTATTATTGTAATATACTGCAAATCACGCATTTTATTTCATGATTACAAGCAGCATACTTATTCTCTTTTTCTTAAGGTGTCTTGTAATCACAAAAAACTTTGATGAATCTCTCGGACTAACATAAGGAGGTGTTTTTCTTTCTCTCAAGTTGTACAGTTAGGTCATCAATTTAGTCAAAATTCCCAACACCCCCATTTTACACTCTTTCTACACTGGGAAATGGGACCATACCTTACTTCAGAAAAGGGCAAGCAAGGGGAAATTCTTGTCATAACCAAAAAGCAGAAATTTCTCATTTTTTGGAGTAATAAACCATTTTTCTTTTCATAACAGCTAAATTAAATTTTGCGAAATCTTATTATTTTAATAAATGTAAAATTATGTATTTTAATTTGAAAGAAACAACTTAAAAATATATTTTCTTTGTTTCATTATTCACTTTTTAAATTTTACTCATATATTCTGTAAATGTCATGCCAAATAAAAACAAAAATTTATTTAAATTCGATAGATATCAATTATGCATTTTATTGATATTAAATATAAATTTTTTTTAAAAAAAGTTACTGTTACTTTATACAATAACTGTTTCAGAAATGTAAAAAGGCATGTGATTCTTCCAGTAATTGGCAGAATTCTGCGAATGTAAAAAGGCGTGTGATTCTCTTATCAGTCACTTATTTTCCAACAAAAATTCTGCTAATCTAACATTTAAGTTTTATTACTTAGGTAAAATCAATTTTAACATATGCTTGTGAAACCTGGACCCTATCTTGTACGAATGAGGCTATGCTGGGTACATTTGAGAGAGAGGTCTTGAGAAGTATTTTTGTAGGAATTCAAACAAATGGTGTGTGGCTTAGAACAGTGGTGCGCAAACTTTTTTCGACTGCGACCCCTTTAGTAGAGAGAAAATTTTTGGCGACCCCTAGAGATAAATGTTCACAAATAAGATGTATATTTCGCGCATTTCTTTCGTTTCATCGAATAAAAACATCATCATATTTGACTCATATTAATTTTATTTATAATTTTAAGAAAATACTTTTTGTATAACACAAAAATCTGTAAATTGCCCTTTAATGAGATGTATGTGGCTGCAAGTTTCTAATTATCTCATCGATGTTTGGATGTATGTTGTTAATTGCAATTCGCATATCATCTTCAGGGTTTAAACGCGAGCGGTATTTTGTTTTTATTGAAACTAGTTTGCTAAATCCAGTATCACATAAATACGTTGATGCAAATTGTATTAACACTCTGATGGCATTCTTGCATAAAATGGGATATTGTTTTTCCACGGATAGTCAAAATTTTTTGTCAAAGCTGAATCTTAAATTGATTTCGACTCAGTAGTTCTCACTAATTTGAAGAGTTGAACTGCATATGTCAAAGGAAAATGGATCACGAATCCAACCAAGATTTTCAGGAAAATCCTCGAATCTTCTCGAAGAATTTTTCTTTAACTTTTCAATGTAACTTTTTAGTTTGCGCACCACTGGCTTAGAAGATCAAATCTAGAGCTTTATTACTTCCATAATGAACCTGACATTATTAAAGTTAATAAACGACAAATAATAAAATGTTGAAATGATGTTTTTAAATGTAAATATATCTATATTATTTTTTTTCCTTGATAAAATCGTTAAAGCAAGGGAACATGGTGTTGTTTTTATTCAGTTCAGTTTTGCCAGAGACTAAGCTTATTCTTCAAAGCTTGAATTTTACTGGCTGCAGTTATGATAGTTGAATTCTCACCCTGCAAGCTCAAATTTAAGTCGTTAAGTTTTTCGAAAATATCAACTAAATAGCTCAGCTTCCCTAGCCAAACTTCATTGATATAATAACTTGCCAATCTATGTTTCTTTTCGATTAAAAACGTGTACACTTCATTTCTTAAATCAAATATCCGTCGTAGTATTTTCCCACGTGAAAGCCATCTGACTTCGGTGTGTAACAGTAAATCTCTCATACGTTGAACCCATCTCATTGCAAAGTATTGAAAAGAGACGGCAGTTGCATTTAATGTAGTTAATTGAACTAACAGCGTCTTGTAATACGTTGTGCAATTCTTCATCCATATCTTTTGCAACAAGAGCTTGCCAATAAATCATACAATGATTAAATACCATATGAGGCGCCACCTTCTGAATTAAGCCTCTGAGCCCCTTATTCGAACCTGTTAATGCTGCAGCACCATCAGAAAGAGTGGACAGCATGAAATTGCAATTAAACAGGGAGTGACGGTGCTTCACTCTTTATAAGTACACTGTATGGTATGCAGCTTGCAGGGATAATGCATTTCATAAAAATTTGGCGACCCNAAACCTGGACCCTATCTTGTACGAATGAGGCTATGTTGGGTACCTTTGAGAGAAAGGTTTTGAGAAGTATTTTTGGAGGAATTCAAACAAATGGTGTGTGGCTTAGAAGATCAAATCTAGAGCTTTATTACTCCCATAATGAACCTGACATTATTAAAGTTAATAAACGACAAATAATAAAATGGACAGGCTGTGCTATCAGAATGGACGGAGACCGTACCACAAAAAGAGTTTTCTATGCCAGACCCGTTGGCACACGAAAAAAAAAGGCAGGCCGAATTCGAGATGGATAGATGGCCTAGAAAAAGACCTTTTGTTCTTAAAACTAAAATCTGGAAAACACTTGCAGAAAAAAAGGTTATCCTGGAAAAAAAACTTCTCGATTCAGCCAAGTCCCACCCTGGGCTGCAAAACCATTGATGAGGATGATACTTATGTAAAATCTGGTTAGCGAGACATTTATTGCACGCATACTGGCACCCTCTTTTTTCTAAGTTCTCAATCACATGGCATGACTTTTTACATAGATTTTTTAGATGAAGAGCAACTTTAGATAAAATTCAAGAATACGAGACACAAAAAAAATTTTAATAATTCGGGTAAAACTAATGAACTACTAAGGCATGTGTAAAATTGATTATCTAAAAAGATTGTTCTTTGAAAAAAAAAAAAAATTTTTTTTTCCTTTTTTTGATAATGAGTAGCAATTTTGTTGTCCGAATTTAACCAAAGAATCAGTGTGATGCCCCTTTTTTATTTGGTTACAATTAGATTGACAGGATTGCCACTCCACATGGTGATCAGGGAAGGTACAGGGAATTTTTATTTTACAAACTGGGAATTTTTGTTTTTTAAAAAATAGTGACCAATCAAAGCATAATCTATGGGATATTTCAGCTATACTAAACTATTTAATTTACTATAGCATTATTTAAGTATGTTCAGCTGTTTTTCCAGCAATTAAAACTAATAAATAAAGTTAGCTCAATATAGCTCACACAAGAGCACAGTAATTGTTGTTTCCTCTTAATTTATTGTGTATAATATGTACAGGAAGAAAGAAAAACAGGTAATTTCTCCTGTTATCTTTACAAAGAAGGAGAGAAAATGATACTGCCCTTGTGAAATAATTCGGACAACGGCATCTTTTGATCTTCCAGACGACACAGGTTAAGAGACTCCTCGAGTTGAAATGACAATGCCCTCAATGTTTCCTTCCCATTTCTTTCATTTTCTTATTAATTTGAGGACTGTGTTTATCACAGCTGGGGTAAAAAAGAGAACAGAAGTATAATCTTTGAGGTATTCCTATCAATGAAACATTCAGACACTTGATAGATGATCAATTATGAATAATCAACTCCATAGGTCCTCATGACTTACAGGCATGCATTGCCTTTTTTTTTCTTCTGTGAATCATGGGAGATTTACTTTAAAATTATTTACTATAATATTATTTAATTATATCTATATATTTGAAAATATTCTAAAAACAATTTATGGTGTTAAGCTTAGGTATTAGGGTACGC